AAATCACTCCTGCTGTGTCTGTGATCTGGCCATGGGATTCCTTCCCTACTTCAATTTCTTTCTTCTCTGCTCCTTTTACCTCCAAATGATGAAATCTCATTCATCTTCCAGATTCTGCTCCAAGACCATCTGAACCTCCTCTAATTTCTCCCTTTCTCCTATACCTTGTGCCATATACCTTGATAAGACATTTGCCAGTGTGCCTACATTTGTAGTCTAGGTACTATCTCCTCCTCTCTTCACTTACCACCCAGTAAATTGCAATTGTCACTGGACCCTTCTAATGCCAAAGATAATACTTTTCATATTGTAGACTCTGAATGACTTGTCAGAGATAAATGAATACATGATTTCAATCTTGCTTACAAAACAAGGAATATATCCAACCTTACATTCATTCCCATGGCACTTTTATCTGTTTCAAAATGCTGGCATATAAATTATCTCATTTTATTCACACCAGCAACCATGAAGCTTCAGTGAGAGGGTTATGTCCCATTTTTGAATTAGGAAATGGAGGACTAGAGTAGTTAAAAGATTTGTCTAAGGTTACCAGGTAATGACTGGGCTAAGATAAAAATCCAGATCTCCTGTTTTTTATTCAATGTTCTTTTATCTCACAGACTCAGTGATATCACTCTAATTTTAAAATTAAATATAAACTACATGGCATTTGTGGGGAGAAAGCTCTCAAGAAGTCAAAGGTCATTAGGAGCCCACAGTGCCTCAAATATTAGAAATTCCTTAGGCTGGCTACTCCGGGTATCTACATGAGTTAGCAGTGAACATAGTCAAGGTCCTCCCCGCATGGAGATGTCCACTAATAGTTAACCTTAATAAACTGAAAATGGAAAGTTGCCAGCTCCCAATTTAGTTTTCTTCTTGCTTCCATTAACCTGATGATTTTTCCTAGCTAAGATAGACAACAAAACAACCAAAGCCAGTATATAGCCTCTTCTCAACCTTTCATTCAAATGGAGCCTCAGAGTAACCCTGAGGAGTAGGTTATTGTCACTGCCACTTTATAGAGGAAGTCAAGGCTCACATATTAGATGAGTTGGCCCAAAGTCACAGTTAGAGGACAGTAGAGTTAGGACTTGAACCCAAGTGTCCCTGGAAATGCTATGCCATCCACCCATCAGCTATGGAACACTTTCTAATATTCTTTCCCAGGAAGCTCTCAAGGCAATTCTAGAACACGGTGCAGGGAATGAGCTCACTCTTCTCTGCTCTTTCTCCTCTCACTGTCTCTCCTGCAGTCACTGGTGTCTTGACTCCATGCCAACAACTTTACTCCCATGGCCAAGCAGACAGCTGAGTGAGGCCATCAGAACACTGTTTTAGGAGTCAGTTATGTGGATATAAACTGTCGCCTGGGATATCCAGCTGTGTGAGTTGGGGTAAATTACTCTTAATTTTCTTTATCTGTAAAGTGAAGTTTCTTTATCTGTCAAGTGTAAGTACTTTCTGGAGTGGTTGTAGGAATTGAATAAAATGATTTTCATAAATGGCTTGGGATGGTGCCTGGCATATAGTAAGTTCTCAATAGCATTGATAATGATGACCATGATGAAGCTACTAACTTAAGAGCTTTAACCCTAACAATCCAGAAGAAAAGCATTTCCATGCAAAATAGTATAAATCAACCATCCCATTTGTTTGAGAATGCAGTGATCATAGAATAAAAGTTTAAACCATAAAAGTATGATTTAAGGATTTATGGTGTGTGAATGTGTGTCACCAATTCATTTATCCAATATATATTTTCTTCCTCAAGTGCAAGAACCACATATAAACATTTTAAACCCAGGAAAGAGAAAAAGAAATAAGCATATTATGTGCCAACTATTCTGACAAAACCAACCAACAAACAAAAAACCTTTCAAGGTAGTAGGTCAAAGCATAATTTTCAAAATGTAAAAACATAATTCTTATACAAATATATAGTGAGCAAGTGTCAAATTTTATTCATTTCATTATTAAGGATATTAGCTAAATGGCAAACTCAGTTCAAAAAATTTATGAGAAACAAGAATTATAGTCAGCAGGGTGGAGAGAATAAAGGATTTTAAAAAAAAGGAATGCTGAGGAAGTATTGCTAAGTTAGTTTGCAAAACTAGTTTATGTCCTACAAGGCAATAAAACTATAATTTGGGGGTTATCTTCTTTTATCAGACAGAAATGCATATTATCACATATTATCAACTTTACAGAATTGGAAAATATTTGGACCCTAATCTATTGTGCAAGTTTACATTTCTCTCTATAGCCAGATGACCTTTACATAGACTATTTAAAAAATGTTCTTAGCTTGATATTAAGATTATTGTATCATGTTTCAGCCTGATTTCCTGTTTTTGAAGTTTTTTTTCTTTACAGTAGGTATAATTTATCCCATTTACAGATGTGAAAACTGAGGTTCAGAGTAGTGAAGCTCCTTGCTGATGGCCACAAACAGTAGGAGAACCATATATCTGGACTAAGGCTTACCTAATTCCAAAGCCCAAATTTCTTCTAAGATATGATGCAGTTAGGCACATAAATAGTATTTGGTAAATATTTCTAAATTGGTTGACATAAGAGTAGTATTCAAAGGCTCCGTTTATAAAATATGATTAGCCAAATAACCTAGAATAGTTAATACCTGTCCCAAAGTGCTTGGACTTCTCATTGACAAAGCTTGCACACACAGAAAAAAAGGAATTTGAATGATGGTCCTTCAATTCCAGATTAGGTCCTACATTTTAAAGAGGCCTCTCTACTGTAAAAGGGGTTGTCTTAGGTGCTGCAGATGTAACACCTTAACTTTGTACCACTTTTTGTACCACTTGCCTTTAGATAATCACTCAACAAATATATTTGATCACTACTGGATACTTGGAACCCTAGCCCCACCAATACCACAATGTATGTAAAGGTACTTTATGGCATATAAAAATTTTTTGGTTTGTTTGATTTGATTTGACTTTAAAAATTGCAAAATTTTATTTAAGATTATAGAAAATGACCTATTGTTAAGTAATGATGTCACATGTTTGAGGCTAAGAATATTCTTGGTAGTTAGGAGATATGTTGACTTCCTTTTTTAATTCTATTAATTCCCCACCCTACTGACAAATGCCATCAAAGGTAACATTTCGTAACTGGAAATGGAAGAGAGACACTGTAATTTTTCTTTTCAATAAAAGTACATTTTTTCGCCGAAACCGGTTTGGCTCAGTGGATAGAGTGTCGGCCTGCGGACTGAAAGGTCCCAGGTTCGATTCCGGTCAAGGGCATGTACCTGGGTTGCGGGCACATCTCCAGTGGGAAATGTGCAGGAGGCGGCTGGTCGATGTTTCTCTCTCATCGATGTTTCTAACTTTCTGTCTCTCTCCCTTCCTCTCTGTAAAAAATCAATAAAATATATTAAGAAAAAAAAAGTACATTTTTTCTTGAGAAGATCCAAATACTTTTTCAGTAAGATACCACTTATCCTTTTTATATAACTTCAGTAAATACATAACTCTCTTCTTATGAACACTAATTCCCATACGGATTTAAGTGGTTGTAGTACTGCTTCTGAACAGCAGAGGTCACTATTAACAGGTACACTGGATTGCCAAAGTTGTATGCAAAAGAGCAGGAGGAGGAAGCAGTTTTTCCTAAGCTGTGTACTCTGTGGTCATAATACAAAATGACCAATAACGTTTGACATCCTTTGAGACCTTCTCCACTTCCTCCCCACCACACACATACTGGACAAAAAGTTATCAGAATGACAGTGTTTACTGGTATTCCACTGGTTTTTACAGATAAAAAGACAGGAAATTGGCAAACTGAGGAAGAGGCTACAGGATGCTTGCTTCATGATACAAAACTAAACAACAGGCCATTCTTTTTAAAAACTGAAATAAAAAATCCTCAGGTTTTCTTAGCGATAATCAGCCATCAAAATCAGAATCATATTACCAAATAGCCTGCTGGTCATTGATTTAGAAGTCACCCATTAGCTTGATAATACAACCAAAAAAACTCTGGTAGTTGAGGCTCCTTACCTTTGGTTTGACCAAGCACTGGTAACAAAACATTCAAATAATAAATAAGAGTTCAAGTCAAAGGTACTACATTCAAAGTAACTCTTCCTATCTGAAGAATGAAATGTTAGCATTCCAGCCTTAAGCTGCATCAAAATCACCTGAAGTTCTTGCTAAAACACAGATTTCAGGTCCCATCCCCAGAGTTTCTGATTCAATTAGCCTGGAGAAGGGGCCAATAATTTACAGTTTTAAGTAGTTCTTAGGTGCTGTGGCTGCTGCTGGTTTAGGGACCACTGCTCTCCCCCAAAGTCTCAATTATACAACCAGCACCACACCATGGCC